AAATTTCCATATTTTTTTCTTTGAATTTCAAAATTTTCAAAAATTCTTCAAAATTAATTTTTTTTTGGGAGGGGAAGGGCAAGAAGGGGAGGATCTCTACATAGATAATTCATACAGTCTCGGTGATTAATTCACTTTTTTCCGATGCATGCGTTTATTTTTAGCTGTTTTCGCGTTGGCACGCGAATATAAATTGGAAATCTCATTGTTTGAAAGATTGATCAAAAATCATTTCCCATATACGGCGCTCGAATCACAACACCGTATGGCTACGCTAATATCGGGCACTCTAATGCCGATATTTTATCCGCAAATGTTGGATGCGAGCAATGTTTTGGGTTATCCGAATATTAAAGGTAAGAATTTTGTCTTCATGGAGCAGCTTTGAGTTAGTACTTGAGTAAGCACATGGCGGAATTTCCTCTAATTTTTTGTCTAATTCAGTTCAGGACAAGAAAAATGTCAAAATCCCAGTTTTATGGTTTGATTCGCTTTAATTTTAGCCCTTATGTAGGCCACTGTCAAGAATCAGCAGCAAGACCTAAAAAGCTGGTTTCGAACCATCCAGTATATTAGCAAACAAATAGGAATCAAAAAAATTTGATTTTCAGCTCCTTCCACTTTGGAGTAAAAAAATGAGGTCGAATTTCGACCTGACCTCACAGATCAGGAAAAATAATTGATATAAAACAGTTTTAAGCTTGTCGTCCTGCGTTGGGCAGGGAAATTTCTGCTTAGGTTGTAGTAAATGCGGTCGCGGGAGGTGAGTGATTTGGGGTAGCATACAGCGTTTGTGATGGCTCGAGAAAGTGCAACAGAATTGCGCATGGCATTAATTTAGAAAATACTGAGATATGGATTTTGATGTTGCATACGTGGCCTCAAAAATATATCCCCAAAATTTCAGCCTTCTAGCTTTCACAGCCCTGGAAACTCTTTGACTTGTCTGACAGATACAATGTAGCCATGATGCATCTTTTTTCTGATCTGTACAAAGCCGTAAGAAAAATGATTTGGGACGTAGGAAAAAGGAAAACTAATCCAATTCGATTCTAAGGCACTCCTTGTATTTGCTGGGTTTTTTTTTCAGGATGTGTGAAAAATCTTTATTTTGTCAGTCATGAGTGCCCCGAAGATTCCATGATCTCATCAACATCGCACAAAAATTGTTTCGAGGGTGATTTCGCAGTAAAATTA